CTTTGACTCATATATATGATTATTAGATGATGTATAGCATTTCATTTCTTTTCTTCTTGAACTCACGAATTCATGTTGAGTATCACCAAATACAATTAATTGTTTTATTGTGTTACACTTTGTTTGAGAATTTCGCAGATTAATGCTTTGTTTAAGGTTTCGTTTACTTTCTGTAAAGTTAAGTAAGCATGGGTGATTTCAAATTTTACTTTACAATGAATATTAACAGAAGGTTTTATATTTGATTGAATGAGCGTGTGTCTTTAATTTGATGCATCAGTATTAGGATTTAGATGTGGTGAACAACTGCGAAACCAAATGTTGGAACATCTGTTTGAAAAAATATTAGTTCAATTGATCTGTGTATTCATTTAACTCAATTGTTAAGGTAGAATTTATGATTGTTATAGTATACTTTGTTACGCAATCCGTTTCGCTTAAATCAGATTTTTCCTTCTGTGTGAAGGACTATTGTTGCGTTCTGTATGGACAAAATGTATTGGAAAATAGGTAGTGTATTTGTTTATCTTATTCATTTTGTTTATTCTTTTAAAATCGTTTTTAAATTACATACATATTTCGTTGCATTATTGATTTGTTTTGGTGGAAAAAAGTTGTCCTTACAATGGAGTTTGAATCAGGTGACCAGCGTGATGTTTGTTTCTTTCAAATCAAGGTGAATAATGTATGTATCATCATCATCGAAATTGAACGTTAGTTTTATTGAATATATTTAGGTTTCTTGCAATGGCAGTAGACGAAATTTAAAAGATCTATTAACACCATTTTCTGCTAATAATTTCGAATGGAAATCAGAATTGGAATATTTATTATTGCGTGCAGCGTATTATGATATTTCACGTATGAATTTGCATGGTCACACGATATGTGATAGTCATCATCAGTATTTATTGCAAAAATTTCGTCGAGATCATTGTTATTTGTGCAAAACTGTATTTGGTTGTAATATTAATTCAACAAATGATCTTCGTCGTATTTCTCGAACTATAGCATTTGGTATTTGGCAAGATCATCAGTTGTCAATTTTTGATCAAACTATGTGTGGTTGTTGTCGCAAGAAGCTTGAGAAACAATATTATCATAAAGAAATTATTGAAAAGAGTGAAAATATTTTTTCATGGCTATATGATGAGTACACAATTTATACTCCATCTATTGCTTCATCATCGCCATATTCCATATATGAATTCAATGAAGATCCTGATATCCAATCTCATCAGAGAGATAGTTTTAGAGAATTTTTAATGGTTAATGGTTATCAAGAAAGTGTGCAAATGACAAACTCTTATCACAAAATGATTCAGAAGAAGCAGCAAGATTTTCGACGTAAAACCAAAAATATATTATTATTTATTTTACAAATATTAGCATCAAATGATTTTCTTCAAGTTTGGAAAGATATTATAGAATCTGATTTTGAAGAAACTATGCAGGATTGTGAACTTGATGGAAAATTTGGTATAGTTATGAATTGCATTGCTGATGCCTATAATGATGTTAATCATTGGAGTACTAGACGTCAGCTTCTATCAATTGTTGCTCAAGATATTCCATTGTATATAATCCAACAATTTATACCCGATGTAACATTATGGAAGTTAAATGCAGCTAAACAACAAGCTGTTGCTAATGGTAAATAATAAAACTATTGAGGAGTTGGACTGCAACACGACTTGTAAACTCTCAAGTTGAATTGAGTGACGAGCAGCACGTTGATAAAGAATGCTTCATCAATATAGCTGAATTTTTTAATAAATACTAAAATATATGAACCAATAAATATATTATTATATGAAATATAAAATTAAACTGGTTTTGAAACTAATATATATATATATATATGTATATATAGGGATTGAAGTTTCACAGTGGAACATTTTTTTTGAATTCACTTTTATGTTTTTGATGCGTATCATCGAAATTTTAAACTTGCATTAGTTTAGATAGTGTTTTAGATTTATTTCTCAAATAAAAAAAATTACACTTGTACTATACTAATCGTTATATAAGTTTACCGTTATCAAGTTAATATGGTGGTGGTGGTAGTGGGGGGAGGGGGGCTGTTGAGAAACTTTCAGGCGATATTCCAGTCGCTAATTTATATAATAGGGAGTTTTTTTATCGAACTCCATCCTCCGATTGACGCTCAATTAGTGATAATTACATTTTTATTCTTTAAGGACCAGGTAGTATTGTTAAATATAATGGATCAATAAAAATACGTTATACAGAAAGTCAAATAGCACATTTCATTCAATACATTCTTTCTCCACATATAACAACGGACATGCCATTTGGCGAAAAAAATATAAAATTATCTTCTGGTGATACAATTGTTGTTTCAAATACTATTCGCAATTTACTACCAACTCGAATTATTCAAGCTTATAAAGAATATTGTAAAGAATGTGACGAAGAATTTAAACCATTGAGTGATACGTGTCTATTTGAAATTTTACATTGTTGTACTGCTTCTAATCGAAAGTCTTTACAAGGTCTTGATTATTTCGCCTGTGATGGTTCCAATGCGTTTGATATGCTTACACATTTATGTGATGAATTAACAACACATGGTAATTTCAGATGACATTCTAATAATAGCAGAGTTATTAATTAAAATATTTGAATTTATTTATAGATGTTACTACTTCTAAGATTATTGAATTGAAGAAAGGATTGCATGAATCACGCAATTGTTTAAAAAATAACT